CAAAGGTCCCGTGGTGCATATGTGCCGGGAGCCAGTGTAGCTAGAGCAAAGTAACCACAGAGCAGAGTGGGAAACCAGGAAGCTGGGGAAACAAGGGGGAGGCAGAGCTGGTAGGGCCTTGTGGGCCATTGCAGGCCTTTGGCTGTTAGGGATGTGGGGGCCTTTGGAGGGTTTGAACAGAGGGTGGTCTGATCCTACTGTTTAAAAGGCTCACTGGCTGGTTCTTCGAGACTCGATTGTACAGGTGAGGGTAGAAAAAGGGAGACCAGTGAGGGGGCTGTTAACATAATCAAGATGAGAGGTCGTGACTCAGACCAGGTGGTGGTGGCAATGGTGAAAAGTGATTGGGTTCTGGATATATTTTGAAGGTAGAGCCAAAATAGGACTTGGGACAGATTAGATGTAAGGAGTGAGAGAAAAGAAGGCGGATACCCTCCAAGAGATTGGTCTGAGCCACTGAAGGATGGCCTCGCCTCTGCTCCCAGCCCCTGAGAACACCACCTCCTGGGGCTGTGCAACAGAGGGTCCTGATTCGGTGAAGCAGACTGGGGGAGGGGGGATGTGAGGCTTCAATTTGGATCTGTTAAGTTTGAGTTATATGTCTAAGTAGAGAATGAGCCCCAGCAAAGGGCTCTACTGGAGATATACATTGGAGAGTCATTAGCTTATCAGTGGCACTTAAAGTGAGTGAACAAGAGGAAAGAGGCATGCGAGTGTCCCCAGGGGGCAGCAGTGTTCTGAGCTTAGCAAGGAGGAGACCCAGCAAAGGTGACTGAGAAAGAGCGGACAGCAGGACAGGGAGCCCCTGGAGGGTAGAGTGACCTGGAAACCAGATGCTGATGGGTCAGTAAAACGAGGGCTGAGCACGTAGCAACGTGTGGCCTTGGCAAGGACAGTTGATGTAGTCAGCATCTGAGTCTAATGGGAGAGATTTAGGAAAGTGAATGCTTACAATAGACACGTCTTTGAGGAGTTCTGCTGGAGGGGTTGGTGGAGTAAAGAGGAGAGAAAGGGTCAGATGGAAGAAGAACATGCTGTGTGCTGGGGAAGGAGCAAAGAGCTGCTGCAGGGGAGGGAGGACACTTGCTGGCAGGCCCCTGGCATAGGAGTGAGGGGCTGGCACCATCAGGCACAGGGCGTGCTCAGCACCCATCTCTGACCACCTGTGGGGATAGATAGGCTGAGAGGCAGCGAGGGGTGGATATGTGAGCGGCTCACTCACCTCAGAGCTCTCCAAGCAGAGAGGCGGTGTGCAGTGTGCATTGAGCAGCTCCAGAGCACCCACCTGGCTTGCAGGTGGCTGACTGAACAACACAGAGTGCCCACCCTCAAGAAAGCTATAGACACAGCACCCCAGGCCTTGCCATCTGACCAGTTGTGATGTGCATTTAATCAGCCTGCAGTCAGAAATCATGCTTGACCTTAAGTCATAGTCCAACCTCCTTAAGTCTTGACCTTGACCTTGCTTTGATGTTTCTCCCCTTTGTGAAATGCACCCCCTAGGAAGCCTTCTGAGCTTCTCCCAGAAGGATGTGGTTTCATGAACTTTCACAAGGGTCTTGCGCCCATCTCACGGGGCCTCTGCCACCTTGCGGAGGCAAGGAGTTCTCTCCAACCCCAGCCCTGCGCTCATCCGTCTGTCGCCCCTCCCTCTCCTAGGTGCAGCCTCTACCCTCCACAGGCTTTGCCCCTGGCTGCAGATACTCCATTCTGTATGCTCTGTACTCCTGAAGACCCTCTCTCTTGAGCATGTCTCCTCACACCAGGCTCTGCCCATCGAGCTGCCCCATCCAGCATCTGTCCAGAATGGTCCCCAGGTCCTTCCTCCACACCCCTGCTGCTCCCTGCTCCACCACTACCTTAACCAAGCTCTCGCCAGTGGATTCACCCCAGCCATCACCTCACTCAGCCCTTCTTGAGACACCGGTGACTCCTCCTTACTGGCTGATGGTCCCTATTCAACTTAGCGCCTTAACACATCTTCTCTTGATTTCCATCCTGCCTCCTGCCTCCTCTTCTCCAGGTCTTTTCCAGGACACCTCAGAAAATGTCGCCGTTCCAGGAGATTCTGGCCATTCTCCAGCAGTGCTCTCTGGGCTTCTACGCCTGCTGCTGGGGGGCTCAGCCAGCCCTGGGCCCTGAGCTCTCGCTGGCCTGTATCTCCAGCCTCAGGCCCATGGGTCCAACTCCCCACACACAGTCCTCTTACCTGTTCCACTAGTACGTCATACTAAAGCCAAGCCACACTGCTGCTCACCCCATCCCCGTGTAGGGGGCCATTTCCAGGCAGGGAGGAGGCACGCCCTCCTTCAGGGGTGCCCACATGGTCAGTCTCCTGGCCTTCTCATCCTTCCAGCGAGGAATGACAGGCCACAGCTGGGATCTAGCAGGACTCCTGGACGATTTACAGGTCCTGCCACTGCAGCCTCAGGTCCCCCACCTTTGCCCAGGGCCTTTGTTCAGTCTCATCCCATCACCTGCACTACCCAGCCTTGCCCAGCCTCTTCCCTAGAGATCACGGGCAGCCATCCTCCATGTCTGCTGTGAGTGCATGCCAGACAGCCCTCAGTTTCACCCAGATCCAGCTCTTCAGGTCAGGGATGGCCACCCCAACACTTAGCCTTGCACCCCCAGAGATTAACTTAGTGGCTAACTCAGTGTCTGGGAGCATTTGCAGCAGCGGCCGGCTCTCCAGGCCAGCTTAACAAAGTACCCTGGCACCGGCTGGTGGGGGCTGCCTGGGATGAAGGGTTTGCTGTCAGAGCCCTCACACATTCGCAGTGTCATGTGTATGCTCGGGCAGAGGCCTGTGTGCCCAACCCCTTAGCAGCAGGCACAGACACAAGTACACAGGAAAAGCCTGGGGACCTCTGTGCCCGCAGATGGCTCCAGGAGCTACAAGTCACTCCTACCCCAGGGTCCTAGCTGAGACCATGCTGAGGTGGCCACAGGCTAGTGACAGACAAAATGTGCAGTCCAAGGAATCATCTCACTGGCATTTTATCCAACCCTCATGTCATGCTTCCTCTCTGCACCATGCTGCATGCATACCTTTAGGGACGCAGGCTTGCTCTGCTGGGCAGCAGTCCGTTGCTCCATAGGTTCCCCCACCTCTGCCCTGTCCCTCCTGTCCCCATGGCCCTCATCCCCTGGGCTCCACCCCCCTCAACTCACACTGAGGTCTGCCCACCCCCACAGGGTCAGTCCCAACACCATTTTTGGATGTGCTTCCTGTTTGTGGCTGTCCTTATAGATACCCAGTGACTGGAATTATCCCCTCTCAAGGTTCTTCTCCCACACCTCACCACGACTTCTGTCCACCTCACCTCCTAAGCATGCGTGGTGACCTTGCTCTTCAGTCCCATCCCCCAGGTCCAGAACCAAGGACGCCACCCCCAGGCCAGCCAGTCATGGCATTTGGGGTCTTTCTGGGCCTCTCGCCCATGGGGTCTGCTTAAAGCTCTTGTAGGCCACCCAAAGCCTACAGGCTGGCGGCCAGACCCCAACCTTCCCACCCACAGGCCACCCTCAGATCCACCCTCTTCCCCAGCCCCACCTTGGACCCCCCCCCTTCCGCCAAATCCACCTACCTGCCAGATACAAAGAGGGGCTCAGTGATGTCTGAAGGAAGAACTCCAGTCAGGATCTGAACCAGTGGGGCCTTCCCCTGGTGTGGGGAAGGGCTTGGACACGGCCAGGGTGGATGGACACCTGGGGTTTGGCCTCAGCCTTGGAAGCCTCAGTTGATCTGTAAAATGGGGATCATCTGTTCTGACTGACTGGACTGTAGTGAGGTGTGTAAAGGGCGTGGTGTACAGCGGCACCAAGGAGATGGAGCAGGTAGAAATGAAGCCAGCTGCCCCTACCCCTGCCTCTGCCCTGGGCTGGGTTGGCCAGCTGGGCAACAGGGTGCACAGTAAGGAGTGAGTCCACCAGAAGGGCACAAGGGCCCTGCTGGCACTGCACAGCCTGGGGCCTTTGGGCATTGCTGAGGCCACAGTGCCCCCTGGTGGCCATGCAGTCCTTCCCAAAAGACAGCTCTGTGTGCCTCAGGGCTTGCTTGGGCCTCCTTCTCTGGGGCCCTAAGAAAGGTTTGTTGTAATCATTTTACAAATGAGGACCAGCCCAGGCGATTCAGCTGCCCAGAATCACACAGCCAAGCAGAAGTAGGGCCAGAACTCAAACTTGGGTGTGCCTGGCTTCCAAGCCACTGCTGTCCTCCTTGCCAGTGGCTGCTTAAGGTTCCCACCGGGCCTGGACTGGGAGAACGCCCCCACATCTCCCACCTTCCAAAAGGGCAGGAACTTGGATTTGCTTTGTGGTAAAGACAATGAGCATTTGGATGGAGGAGAGAGGGATGGGGCTGAGGGTCAGGAGATTCCTGGGGCCCCACCCCATCCCCACTACTGTGCTGGAGCCTGTTGGGTGAGGAGTCACTGGTATCAGCTCCAGTGGTGGGACCTCTCACTCCCCTTCCCTTACTTGGTCTGAAGGAGCCTTGCCCTCCCCCAGCCCCTCACCCCCACTGCACCTCCGTACCTTTCTCCACCACTGCTACCCCCGAGGCCTCCTCTGGTCATTGACCCAGGGCAGCAGCCCTGGAAGAAACTTGCGGCTCCTTGTGTTCAACCTCCTTGCCCCGCTTGATGGAGGCAAAGTGAGGCCTGGAGAGGGAAGGGGGCTGGCCAGGCTCACCCAGCTAGGCATGGCAGAGCCAAGGTGGTTCATTTCTCCTAAATCCTTGACCTGGGCTCCTTCCCCTACCCAGGGAGTTTCATGAGCATAGAGAGTTCTTGGAGCCAGAAGTGCCCCTGACCCTGCTGGTTGCTCTAATGGTGGTCCTTTAAGCAGTGGAAGGTGGGGAGAGAGCAGCCAGCATTTTACAGAGGTTCCCAGAGAAGCCTGCTTGCTGACTGGTGGTTGGAGAGGCAGAGAGGGGGGAAAGGCACTGTGGGTCCCAACAGGCTCCCTCTGATGGCCACATCTTCCTTTGGCTACAGGGCGCTGTGCAGAGCTGCAGGTCCATGTCACTGAGTCCATGGCCACGGTGGCTGAGCAGAGGGAACTGATTGCCCGCTTGGAGCAGGATCTCAGCACCATCCAGTCCATCCAGCGGCCAGATGCCGAGGTGAGTCCACCCTCTACTCCCTCCCCCCTCACCACCTACTCAGGGCTCTTGCTGTGGGTTTGCCTGCTCACTTCACCTGAAGGCCCAATTCGGGATGCCAGGCCACAGGGCAGAGAGGCAGGCTTCCTTGACCTGGCACAAAGCACCCTGTATTCAGTCACTAGCTTGGACCTCTGCCCTGGGAGCTCTGAGCAGAAACAAGGACAGGATTACCCACCCATCTCACAGCAAGAGGACCTGAGGCCCCAAGATCATGGGAGGCTGGAGCCCGAAGGGCCCTTGGAGGTCATCACATCACCCCCCTCATTTTATAAACGAGGAACTGAAATGGGGAGAAGCTGGGCTGGCCCAGGGCACACAGCAGGCTGGCTGGCAGGGCCAGGGTCACCCAAACTCTGCTGGCCACCAGGGCTGAGTGGCTGGTGAGAGCCCCACTACTATGCTCCAGCCTCAGGGGTAAACTCGGGGCCCTGCCTTCTTTTTGATGGCCTATGAGAGGAGGCCTCTCCAGGCCCTCCTGAGGCCTTCTGTGCCTGCCCTTGCCTCCAGACCACCCCAACTTCTCCTTGAGCCCCATTGATTGGCACCTTGAAAGGGTGTATTCAATGCCACATGTGAAGGTGCCTCCTCCACCTCTTCCTCTCACCTGCAGGGGGCAGCTGAGAATGGCCTGGAGAAGATCCCAGAACCCATCAAGGAGGCCACCGCCCTGTTCTATGGTGAGAAGGGACCAACCTGACCCACCAGGGCAGCCATGGGCCAGTTGGGAGCAGGGAAGGGAAAAAAGATGATGCAACCAGAGCCCTGGTTCCAAAGAGCACGCCCCCTCCCCTAAAGAAAGTCAAGGCCCCCATCCCAACAAAGCAGTAGCAACATTAAGGAGGGGTGAGCCCTTCTAGGCCCCCCTACTGAGGGCTTCTGCTCTGAGTTTGCCTGCTCACTTCACCTGAAGCCTGACAAGCCCCCTTGAGGCCTTGACCTCCTTGGCCCTGCCAGTGGCCTTAGAGGGCTGGTGGGTGGTGGTCAGCTCCCCAGGGAGACCTTGGCATGGAAATGCAGCCAGAGAGAGAGCTCCTGGCACTGGAGGGGAGGTAGCCTCCTCCAGTGTCAAGGCCAGAACCTGGGGAGAGGATCCTCATGGCTTCCAGTGCCCTCACTGTTCCTTTGCTTCACCTGGAACTGGGGAGCCCAATCAGATGCAGGGGTCTTCAGTCCAAGTACAGAATAGTGAGAATGGAGGCTTTGGGGCCTGGCCTTCAGACAGTGTGGGCAGGGCCTCCCCCCCCAGGGCCCGTATTCTCGTGTCATACCCCCCTGTTCCCCAGGGCTCCCTTCCCCAACCTCTCAGCACCTTGTGCTCAGATGCCCTGTGCCTTCCACCCCATGGCACTTGGCCAGAGCTCCCTTGGGCCTGGGACCACCCAACCTGAGGGCCCACTGCTAGGCTCTGACTCCGGCCACCCCAAGCCACTCTCCCCTACTTCATAGGACCCTCGGCACCAGCCAGTGGCACCCTCCCTGAGGGCCAGGTAGACTCGCTGCTCTCCATCATCTCCAGCCAGAGGGAGCGCTTCCGGGCCCGGAACCAGGAGTTGGAGGCTGTGAGTCACATGCTTCCCTCCCCTACACTCCTTAGACCTGAAAACACAGCAGGGGACACACAGGCTTGGGGGAGAAAGCTGTGTCACAGACCATAAATTGCCGTGGGATTAGGTGTGTTCTGTATAGTCAGGAAGGGCTTCCTGGAGGAGGTTGTGCCAGGCTGGGCTTTGAAAGAGGAATCAGACACCCAAGGTAGAGGAGACTACATGAGCAGAGACGGGGGTCAACAGCCAGAAGGGAGTGCAGGTCATTCCAGGGTTGAAATAAGAAGACAGAGCTGCCAGGCGAGTGCCCTGTAGCCAGGTTGGGGCACCAGCAAAGGATTTAAGCAGGGGAGCAACACTGCCGGGATGGAGGCTAAGAAGGATCACAGGACAGAAGGCTGGCCCAGAAAGATGACTAAGGAGTGGTCAGCATCATCCAGAAAGAAACATGTAAATCGGGTGGGAGACTTGGAGAAGCGGGGGCAGGTTGGAGAGAGGAGGGCCTTTGAAATCGATAAAAATGCACAGTCCAGGGATTTCGAGGGGCTCTGTGAGTTCCAAGAGAGTCAGCTAGCTCCTAGGCACCTGACTGGTGGCCTTCCTGGAAGGGCACCATGAGTTAGGAGCAGTCAGCAAAGGGACTGGTCCAGTTGCGTCTGGCCCTTTAATATATGAGTTGTCTCCAGTCGGCACTGTTGATTATGGATGGTGACTGTGGCGCCAGCAGGATGTCTGTGGCCCTGGAAGAATAGGGAGCAGGAGACGAGAGTCAGGGATGGAGTAAAAGAAGCAGGAGCACTTTCTTTAAAAGCCTACAAGTTGTCCCCACAGAGGGAGTAGACACTGGATCCAGAGTGCAGAGGGCCCAGTGACAGACCAGGGGAGCACCTGGAGGTGGCACCATCCTGGCTTTGGGGACCCTGCAGACCCCCCATCCCATAGAGCCAAGTCCCCCCAGTTGCTCTCCCAGGAGGAACAGGAGCCAAGAAGCTTTCCATCCACTGCTTGAGCTGATGATGGAATTGCTAGACCCCTCCTCTCCAAACTCATAGTTCCCCCATGGGGTTTCTAGGCCCAGACCAGGGAAGGCAGACATTACATTCACTGAGCACCCATCACGGGCCAGGCCCAGTGCTGGTCCAGTGACAAGGCTGGGCTAGATCCAATGGGACCCTCTGTGATCCAGACTCATGAGGCTTCAAATGAGGGATGGTCAGGGCCGCTCCCCTCACAGCTGCCTGCACAGGCAGTAGACTGGGGACACCCACATGCCCATCAGGGACTGGACAGCCACACTGTGCAATGCTATGCAGCCCTTAAGAGAAGGCCTTCAGCCCGGTTGGCGTGGCTCTGCGGTGGAGCATCAACCTAGGTTCCAGGAGATCGCAGTTCGATTCCCCGGCAGGGCACATGCCCGGTTGTGGGCTCGATCCCCAGCAGGGGGCGTGCAGGAGGCAGCCAATCAATGACTCTCATTGATGTTTCTCTCTCTGTCTCCGTCTCCCTTCCTCTCTCTGAAATCAGTAAAGACATATTAAAAAATAAAAGGCCTTCAAAATAAATTAAGTGGGAGAGAAAAAGCAAGTGTTAAGTATTCTACGTTTTGCTTTATAAATCTAGACTTTTTATCATGTACTTTTTTAAATTTGTGGCAAAAACACACATAACATAAAATTTACCATCTTAACCATTTTAAGCGTACAGTTCAGTGACATTAAATACATTCACCTCCATCCATCTCTAGAACCGCCTTCATCTTCCCAGACTGAAACTCTGTACCCAGAGACGCTAACTCCCCACCCTCCTCTCCCCCAGCCCATTCTGCTTCCTGTGTCCGTGAATGACTACTCTGAGTTCCCTCGTATGAAGGGAATCGTACAGTATTTGTCCTTTGTGACTGGCTTATTTCACTTAATGCCTTCAAGCTTCCTCCATGTTGTAGCATGTGTCAGAATTTCCTTTTTTATGGCTGAATCATACTCCATTGTATGGATAGACCACAGTCATTTTCCGTTTATCTGGTGATGACCACTTGGGTTACCCATCTTTCGGCTGTGAGTAGTGCTGCTAGGAACATGGGTGTACAAATATCTGTTCGAGTGTCTGCTTTCAATTCTTTGGGATGTATACCCAGAAATGGAATTGCTGGATCATTTGGTAATTCTGTGTTTAATTTGGGGGGTGGGGGTGGGGATTGTCATACTACTATGTCCTTTTTAGCCCTGTTTGAATTTTTAACACTGTGAAGAAAATGCCTATTTAAGCATTTGAATAAATTGAAAAATAAGATCGCATCTCACCTTGCCCCTAGATGGCAAACATTCAAATCACATACGTAGTGTATGATTCCATTTACATGAAATGTCCAGAATAGGCAAATCCATTCAGACAGAAAGTAGATTAGTGGTTGCCAGGGGATAGGGGAAGAGGCAATGGGAAGTGACTGCTGAGAGGTTGGAGTTTCTTATCTGACTGATAAGATGTTCTGGAACTAGTGCAGATGGAATTGTGAAGATACTTTTAAAAAAACTGAATTGTAAACTTGAAAATGGTGATGTTTATGTTATATGAATTATATCTCAAAAACTTTTAAAGCCTGGTAATACCATAAACAAACATGATGAAACCTGACTGAAGAACTGTGACTTCTGCCTGACGTGAGGTCACAGGAGGAAAAGGGGGACTTCCCAGAGCAGGGTCTTAGTAGGTCAAAAGGCTCGAGGTAGTAGAGTACTGTGCCAGCATGGAGGCCTCTCCCGCCACCCCTTCCACCTCTGGCCCTGCCTGCCTGCCCACCCACCCACCTGCCTGCCCACAGGAGCACCGCATGGCCCAGCACACCATCCAGGCCCTGCAGAGTGAGCTGGACAGCCTGCGTGCTGACAACATCAAGCTCTTCGAGAAAATCAAGTTCCTGCAGAGCTACCCTGGCCGAGTAAGTACCTTCCCCAGTTTCAGCCCCAGCTGTACCAGGCAAGGAGAGAGGTAGTCCAGGCACTCCAGGCCGGAGCGGGAAGGCAGTGACCTGCTGGGCAGCACTGGGCAATCTGGCCCCCTCTGCTTGCCAGCTGTCCTTCCTGAGCTGCAGAGAGCCCCCCACAGTGGGGCTCTGGTGGAGGCTCATTCAGCAGAACCAGCCAGGAGGTGGTAAGGTATGCCAAGAGGCAGGGGACACAAACTTAACATTTGTTTAAAAACCATACCAGAATTTGGTCCAACATCCCCAAAAACCAATCAAGAGAACAGAGCAGAAACCTACTCACTTGGTTCTGGGCCCAGAAGGGCTGCCACTGGCTTCTCTCAGCCCCCAGGCTTCGCAGGAGACCATCTCATGCAAGGAAATCCTTTGGTGACTGAAGGGAAACAGAAGGGGGGACAGTCAGTGATACTTCTGGTGGGGGGCCTCCCTGAGACATGACCCTCAGCTACTAGCCCCCCATTCCACACATTGGAGTCATTCTCAGGCCACCAGAGGGCGCCCAGACTCTGTGCAAACCAGTAGCACACACTAGGTAGCTGACGGGTTTCTCTTGTCTTTCAGGCATTTACCTGCTCCCCACAGCCACCCCACACACTCCTAGTGAACCCCCTGCAAACCCACCTCCTTGCATGGGGCCCAGCCCTGTCTGGGCGTTAGCTCCGCCTACCTGCCCTGGGGCACTGAGGCCCTGACCTCGTGGGAGACCTCTGACCCTGGGCAGTGCCCCTGGGCAGTGGCACCAGCCACATTCTCACCATTACTGTGGGCCCCCTTCCCGACCTTCGTTGTGCTGTTGAGGCTCCCTTGTGATCCTGTCAGTCTGCTGTCCCTCAGCCCTGTTGGGGCCCCCATGACTGGTTCTCTCCTCCTTTTTACCCACACAGGGTGGTAGCAGCGATGACACAGAGCAGCGGTACTCATCCCAGTATGAGGAGCGCCTGGACCCCTTCTCCTCCTTCAGCAAGCGGGTGTGTGAGCCTGGCCTCCAGGCCAAGCAGGGATGGAAGTCTGGAGAACCCACCCACTCACCTGGCCTCAGCCTTCCCTTACTCCCCACGCCACCGGTCCTGGTCCACTCACTCAGGCCCAGCCTCACACTGCACTCCACACACCACACCACCAGGGCAGCCTGCACACCCACTATGGTGCCATGAAGGCCCAGGGTCCACCCTGGGGGGCCCAGGGTACCAGGAACAGCTGCCTGATGGCGTGTGACAGTGAATGGATTAACCCCAGGTGCACCCTGGTGGGGAGGGGCAGGTAGACAGGCAAAAAGCTCCCAGTGTCAGGTGACCTGCAGTAGCCTTCCCATCCATGTAACTCCCTTCCCTCATTTCCCAGGCCACAGGAGCCCTACCCATAAAGATTTCCCCATAGGCAGAACAGGCTGCCACAGAGAGCACAAGTCAGCTATCCCTGGGAGGAGCCTGCGATGTCACACAGAATAGGACTGGGCACCAGGGAGGCCCCTGGCAGCCAGCCGCCTGGCATTCTGCAGGAACAGTGAGGCAGGGTCCCTTTCTGCAGTGAGCCAGGGCCTGGAGGGTCCTCTGGGATCTTCTCATTGCCCCCACCCCCCCCTTCAGGAGCGGCAGCGGAAGTACCTGAGCCTGAGCCCCTGGGACAAGGCTACACTCAGCATGGTGAGTCCCCTCCACTGTGCCCACCTGGGACAGGCCTAGCTCTGTCTCTGGGCCTCCAGAGACACCAACCCTGACTGGCCACCTCATCACCTGCCATCCAGCCCAGTCTGGAGAAGCCCCAGGGACCCACTGACCCCTCACAGGGCCTATCAAGAGTGGCTGTGTGACCCAGAACAGGGTCCCTCCCCCTCTGGGACATTTCCTCTCGTAGATTCCAGAATCCTGCTACAGAAGGTACCATTCCTTAGAATTCCTGTGGCCCAAATTTTTGGCCTATACAGTGGAATGGGAGTCCACTGACTGCCCTTCCCTCCCCTTGCTGCCCTCCTCCTTCTCTGCAGGAGTGGGTAAGACCTGTCCCATCTGCACTCCACACCTTGCTCTCTCCTCAGGGACGGCTGGTTCTCTCCAACAAGATGGCACGCACCATTGGCTTCTTCTACACACTGTTCCTGCATTGCTTGGTCTTCCTGGTGAGTGTCTAGATAGGCAGTCAGGGGTGCATTCACCCTACTCCTCTGACCTCCAGGGACAGGACCCCGGTACTGTGACCTGGTACCCAGGCCCTCCCCAAACCCACTGTCTGTTCTTGGCCACTTCTCTCCCCTTCAAGGGCCTCAGCCCATCCTGGGGATAACAAGCATACCCATTGGGCCCTCTGGCTGAGGCAGCAGCCCTGCCCCTCTTGGAAGAGGCTTGGCCGGCTCTATCCAGGGCTTGGTCCTAGAGCGGCTTGTTGGAGGGAAGGGCTGCTGTGGGAGTCTGAGGAAGGCAGGACAGCCAGCTGGGCTGCACAAAGAAGGGACATCCTGTTAGTGGCACAACACATACAGAGGCCTAGTGATGCCTGCATGTCCACTGAGTCAGGGGAAAAGAGGGTGTAGGGCATGCCTATGAAGGGCTCCAGCCTCAGAGACCCTCACCCCCATCAAGGCCACAGTCAAGAAGGCCCCAGCATGGCTAGCCTGAGCTCTAACTCTGACCCCTAGGGCCCAGCAGGTCCTAGCCCTGCCAGTGGTATACCTCAAAATGTTAGGGGCGGCCCTTCCATGTCCAAGCCTGTCTGACCATCTTTGAAACAGGCAGGCACAGGAGCATCTCTAAGGCCCACCAACCTGCAGTCTGGGCCATGAGAATTGTCCCAGGGGCTGTAGGTAGACTGCAGGAGTGGCTGTGAGGCAGAACAGGCAGTTCATGGTGTCTCTGCCTGACCAGGTTCTCTACAAGCTGGCATGGAGTGAGAGCGTGGAGAGGGACTGCACCACCTTCTGCGCCAAGAAGTAAGGATGCCCCCTGAGCCCCACCATGGCCCCACAGCACCAGACTCCCCCTCTGTGCCCTGTCCCCATAGCCCTCTACCATTCCCCCCCCTCCTAGATCCTCCCCACAGCCCCCCACCATGCCCACTGCTCTC